GGGCGTGGTTTAGACGCGTTACGTTAAACATGAGGCTCCCGCTAGGGACAGCCTCAGACACATGAGATCTCAAAGGATCTTGCGAATTCGTTGAAATCTTGAACATGAGGCTCCCGCTAGAGACTTCCTCGAACACATGGGTTGGCAGACGACCGTTTTCAATGCGTCTTCTGTTTACACTGGAGCTCCCGCTCGAGACATGTCGAAACACGTGTGCGAGGAGGAGGAGGAGGAAGAGGAGAAGGAGAAGGAGGAGGAAGAGGATTAGGAGAAAGACGTGGACGAGGAGGAGGAGGAAGAGGAGGAGGAGACGGAGGAGGAAACGGATGAGGAGGAACAGGAGGAGGAGGAAGAGGAGGAGGAGGAATAGGAGGAGGAGGAGGAGGAGGAGGAGGAGGAGGAGGAGGAGGAGTTGGAGGAGGAGGAGGAGGAGGAGGAGGAGAAGGAGGAGGAGGAGGAGGAGGAGTTGGAGGAGGAGGAGGAGGAGAAGGAGGAGCAGGACGAGTAGGCGGAGGAGGAAGAGGACGAGGAGGGGGAGGAAGAACATAACGCGCTCCCAGCGCACGAATGCCCACATAGAGCATACACTACGTACACAATACGCCACTTACATGAAACACAAAGCGTGCGCACACCCTGCGCCCCTCCCGTCCGCCTGCCAGGCACACACCCCGCACGCGCACCATACACCCCCCCCCCGCCCGCCCGCCAGACATACGCCCTGTACGCACACCGTGCACCCCATCCCCCCGTCCCCTTGGCACGCACCCTGCACACGCCCGCGCACACGCGCACTCACACGCACAGCTGCATACACAGGCACACACACACACACACACACGCGCACACACATGCACATGCACATACGCGCACACACACAAATATAGGCCACGTGCAACACCTGACCAAAGCAACCGCAGGCAAGCACTGAACACGAGCTACCAACGGCGACCATAGGGGATCCCAGCGATTGCACACCATGCGAGCACATGCGTGGTGGTTGCACCTCCATGCGCGCGTGCGCACGCAAGCTCAGAGAAGCGGTGCTTCCCTGACCAAAGCAACCACAGGCAGCCACTAAACCCAAGCAGGACGGGTTGGACAGCCAGGCGGGCTCAATCTGCCAGGCGGGCGATCAAAGCCGCCTGCGGGCGACGTCCAGGGCCACCAAGAACCGCCAGAGAATGCCTCATGAGCCTCAGGATGCCCCCAGGCGCCCTAAAGATGCCCCCACTCGAGTAACGCGAGGTTACTGCTGCAGGATGGACCTCGAGTAAATATTAACCTGCGTTTACAACGTTCTGGGATTATATCGACCAGGGTTCATAATGTCTCTCCCGGAACACTATGAACATGGGTTTCAATGTTCTGGGCATATTGATTAGGGTTAATAATGTTCCCCCTGGAACATCATAAACCCTGGTTTATAATGTTCTGGAGATATCGCCCCCAAACACATATTGACCTGGTTTCGTAACGTTCGGGGAATATTGGCTGGGGTTTACAATGTCCCCGGAATAATGAACTCGGTTTTCGTCATTCCGGAATGCTAATAATTATTATTATTTTCCCCCAAACCCCCCGGTTCCTCACCAGGTTTGTCATGACGGTATAATGACCCGGGTTCAGTATTTCCAGGAGATGATAAACCCGGATTCATAATGTTCCCAGATTATTGGCCCCGGGCTAAATATTCTGGAGTGATAATGATTGAGCTTGGGGGACGCCGTTGGGGGGTACGTTCTGGCCTGAAATAAACCTTTGTTTATAAAATTGGAATATTGAACTTAGGTTGATCATTCCGGAAAGATAATGATTCGGCCGGGGGGGGTCTGAGCCCGACTCATTCACAGGACAATAATCCATAGGGTATCATTTCCAGATAACGAACCTAGATTTTCATTCCTAGTTAATAAGCCACGGTCGACGAGGATTTCACACCTACCCTCCAGTGCTGACTGCCGACGTCATTCGCTTTCTCATTCTTTTCCTACGAGCTCCCGCCCCCCGCTCCCTCGTCATTTCGTCGCACGCGATTCGCCGCTTATCATCCGCATGGCGCTCTTACCGCACGTCGAAACTCAGCTCATCACAACGTCGCCACTTATGTGTTACTCAAGCTGCCTGTTGAGGTTCCCCTCAGACCGGCCGTTTCGCCCGAGACATCTTCGAACAATTGAGATGTTGAAAGCGTATGATTGAGACGCCTTTCGTTAAAAGTGAGGCTCTCGCTCGAGACATCATCGAACAACAAACTACTGAGCTCGCTCGCGAAATCTAGCAGCTCGGTCGGCGGTCATGCGAGTCAAAGGCTCGGTCGGCGGGTTAAAGCGGCCATGCGGGTTAAAACCGCCACGATCGATCCATGTAGTGCCCCACGGTCGGGCGGGTTAAAATTGCCATGCGGGTGAAAACGGGCAGGCGGGTTTAAAGTGACCATTTGGGTTAAATGGCCCCGTCCGTTTTGGCTCAAAAACACCATCCGCATTATTGCGGCGAGGCCGTTTGACACGGCCAGGCGGATTGAGGTACACAGGCTGGCGTTGCGCCCCCTGCATACACGCGTTTCTACGGCCGCACACTCAGGCACACAGGCACACACACACAGGCACACGCACACGCACACGCGCACACACACACAGACATATACGCACACAGGCACGACGCCCACCGTACAACGCCCCGCCCGTCGCCCCCAGAACGCACCCCGCACGCCCACCGTACATCCGCCCGCCCGTCATCCCCAGAGCACACCCCGCAAGCACGCCGTACACCCCACGACCCGCCCACCCAGCACACACCTTGCACGCACAGCCGCACACACGCACACAGCCGCACACAGGCGCACACAGACACACAGGCACACGCACACATGCACGCACGCACGCACCTACGCACACACACAAACACACACACACACACACACACGCGCGCGCGCACACAGGCCACGCGCAACACCTGACCAGAGGAAACGCAGGCAACCACTAAACATAGCAGCCAATGGCAACCATCTGGGCATGCAGGGTATCCCAGCGATTGCACCCCATGCGCACACATGCGTGTTGGGTGCAACTCCATGCGCGCGTGCGCACGCAAGCTCAGAGAAGCGGCGCTTCCCGTTCTTGTCCGGAAAGGTTTCCCTTCGTAGTCGGGGTGGCGTTGGCTGTTCGGAGGCGTCCCTGGGGAGCTCCACGTCCACGCGGGCCCGTCCTGGAACGGGCTTGCTGCTTGGAGCCTTCTGGACCGACCTCGTGCTCTTTTGGGCCATCCTGGAGGCCGTCTTGGCCACGCGGCGCCCTCGCGGGGCCCTCGTCGGCTTCACTGGGCCCCGTGACCGCTCGCCGCCCCTTTTCTCCCCCCGCCCGGGGCCCAGCGGGGGAGGGGGGCGGGGAGGGCCGGAGCGGGCTGAACTGCCCCCGCGCGCCAAATGGTTGGCGGGGCTCCTCCGAGGCGCGCGTGAAGCCTCTCCTGCCGGTGCAATTATTACCGTAATCGGCACGAACGAAATGGGTTCGGAAAGAATGGTTGGTACAATGCCCAATAGCGGATCCTGTTCATTTTGAGCAGGACTCGCTGTCCACGCCGCCGCGGCCTGTGTCCATTCGAGACAGAAGGCCGCCTGCCCAACAGCGGCCGCTGTTGGTCTGGGACGGCATTTGTTGTTGGGCATTGTACCCGTCTTTTCCGTACCCATTTCGGGCTTCCAAATGTAAGCCTTTGGCGTGCCCCCACCAGGCTGACAGCAGCCGCGCCCGGACGGCGCATGGGCAAGGAACAAATTGTGACGGACGGCGACGTGCGGGCACACGCGCAAGACACACGAGATGTGTAAACAGTCCGTGGCGCCAATCGCCAGGCGACCATCCGCTGCACCAGCCCATCCGAAACCAATCACCAGGCGAAGTGCATTGCTCAGGGACGCGTGGCGACATGCGGCCACGCTCCGGGCGCCTCCCGGAAGCAGGTGGAGGCCCTCGTGGGGCACCGTGCCAGCCCTCCTCGGGGGCACTGGGGAGGCCTGTAAGGGCCCCTCTGGAGTTGAGCCGGGCGTGTCCCTCTACGGGAGGAGTATTCAAAAAATAGTCAAAACATAGTCTGGGGACGGTTTTCGATTATGTTTTGATTACTTCTGATTATGTTCCGGCTATTTCTTGTTTTTGGTGCAAAATCCGCCTGTAGGGGGACATGCCCGACCCAGTTTTGGAGCCCTCTTGGGGCCTTCTTGGGTTTTTTTGGATGGCCTCTTGGAGGCCGGGAGAGCGATGATGGGGCCATTTTGGAGGCAATCGGTTGAAAAATGGAAGGATATTGAACTGCGCCCCCCACCCCCCGTCGGAGGTGGACTTGTTTTAGTACTGTGTGTTTGTGGGGCGTTCCTGCTGCGCTTTTGGACGTTCATGGAGCCGCCAGGGGCCCCTCTCGGGGCTCTCTTGGGCCGTCTTCGGGCTTCTGTGGGGCCTCCGAGGCCCATAGGAAGCGACAAGGCAAAAAGATAAAATACATCGATGTGCCTGGCATTTTGGAACGACTTCGGCGTCTCAGGGGGCTCATTTGGAGGTTCTGTGGGCACTTGGAACCGCATTGGGACGGTCATGGCGTGTCTTGGAGGCACGTTGGGATGCATCTTGAGCCATCGTGGGCTATCGTGTGCGAGAATGGGCGCCATGCTGGGTTACCTGGGGCCATCTTCGGTGCTCTTTCCGCTCGCGGCGCTCCCCATCCAGACCAAAGGCAAATGGGGCAGAGGGTGAGGTACACCCTCCTCCCTGCGGGGAAGAAGGAGGTGGGAAAAACTGACTCGCTGAATCACGTACGCCCAAGGGGCTTGTGGATTTTTGGGGGACGATCTGCCCCAAGAGAGTTCAGCGTCGGCCTACGCAGGTTTACTGGTGAGAATGGTACAGTTCCCACCTCGCCTACACTTTTCGGGTATGCTTCTTCGCAGCAGGTTCCCCTGGCATGCCGTGTGGTTCGTGAGTGCCTCAGCGCCGCATTCTGAGGTCCAGGTGGTTTTTGACGCGCTGGCTGCCGACGCGAATGGGGCCGCAAGGCGCTTGGCCAAAGAGAGATGCGCAGAGTTATCGGACACAGTTCATCAGAAATCGTGTGTTGTGGAGCAGCAGGTATCAGCATTGCATGGAGCGTATCAGCCGAATCAGCCGAATTGTAGTTCTGGGCCGAAGGGGGGCACGTTGCAGCTAGCCAGTCCTCTCTTGCCATGCACGGCGGGACCTCTCAGAGTTTTGCAACGCGTTGTCGCCAAGTCTCTCCGAAGCTATGGGCACGGCCTTCTCGTTTGACGCCCATGATGATACGTTTTCGTTGTTAAGCAGGTTTCGTCTGTTGAGCAGTATGGTCCCCAATCGGTGTCCGCAGGGGACATGGCCGACCGAGGCATGCGCCGTGATAGGGACTCGGCCCAGACACATTGCACTCGCAACGACGTCATTATTTTACATAGTTGGAGTAGGTTGCCTGGGACTGGCAAAGGTGTTGCGATCACCACGCGTCGAGTGAATATGCATGGTTTATGTGCGAAGTCTCAGCAGTTCAGGGGACGTAATCGGGGTCGTGGATTCTTTCTCACGCTAGGGATCCAGCAGAGTTGGACGATGCCGCAATTGAAGGATTGCGCGTGTTTTGCTTCTCCTTCTTTCTTGTTTGCTTGCGGCCATCGCATGCGGCAGCCAGACCTGGCATGGAAGCGACGAGGATGACAGAGGGATTGAAACCTTGTGCACGTGAGCTGCGTGGCTCAGGTGTTCACGCGAGCAGGCTTCTCTTCAAAGGGGGGGGGCGAGCCGATGGCAGGGAGAGAACCAGCGAGAGCGTACGAGACTGGAGGTGGGCAGAAGGCTGCACACGAAGCACAGTCTGTTGGCCGGCGTCTTCCGATCAGCATTCGGCGATACTAATGAATGGAGGTGAGCAGGGGTTGTCGAACGGTACTCTGATTCTACTTCGTCTTGGCTCTGCGGCCCTTTGCCGGCGGGCTGGCGGGCTGTTTCTGCCTTGCGTGCTGTCCCAGCATGGGAGGTTCGCGTAGAGTTCTAGTTTCGGGTGCCACGTTTTTGTCGCGCAGTTTTTGTGTCCGATTCGATCGTAGTCTACACTTGCCGCGCAAGGAGCGCTGCGAGACGACATCGGCTTCGGGAAGATGCTCGTTCGCTGGGATGTGCGCCAGCTGAAATTACTTTGAAAGGTGATAGGAGCAGATCGCAGTTGCAGGGCTGGATGGGATAACGAGGAGGCGGAGAGCCAACAGCGGAGAGGAAAGAGGTCATTAGCGGCGTGACGGTTATCGAGAAGGTGAATTAGATTACATATTGGTGTTGCAGCTCCACGCTGATTGTCACCCTCTGGCCTCCATGCTCTTGGGCCACCAGCCGTAACATGCCAGGATGTTCGTGCTGCAGGTGTTCCTGCCAGAAGCCGGAAGGCGCCGCGGGGGCGCTGGAGGAGAAGCAGGTGGAGGGCTTGGAGGAGGAGGAGGCATCGGAGCAGCGATTTACGTTGTACAAGGTACTTTTATTCTTGAATCTCTTCGCTCATTCCGCCGGCCCATTTCGCATCACTGTGGCTGCGTGGTGGCGTTCTCGTGCTTTGGGGGGCCTCTCGGGGGCCTCAGGGCCTCTTTCTGGGCTCTTGGAAGGCCCTGGGGGCGGCGCGCAGGAGCAGAACCATCTCTGATGGGGACCTGCTGGGGACCTGCCCGGGACCTGCTCGGGGTATTTGTTTGCCGCGGACCTCCCGGGGCCGCCTTGCGCGCGCGAACTCGAAATATTGTTATCGGGTTACTGGAGATCTTAGCACGCATCTGGGTCGATGGACCGGCGGCGACTCCTGTCGTGATGATTTATTGCGGCGCCTATCGTTCAAGCAGTTAGGGCCGTTGGCGCAGAGGGGTGAGAAGGAGGGGATGGAAGAAAGAAAGACGAGTTTATGAGACGGTAGGAGGTTTCTCGGGGACCTCCTGGCGCAGCGCTTTTCGTTTGAGGATTGAGAGTCGTTGACGCAGAGGGGGGAGAAGGAGGAGGGAAGAATTGTGTGCAAAGTCAGAGCCTTATTTTAGTCATCAACCTCGCCCTTTTCTTGGTGTGATCAACCGGAGAACTCCCTTTCTCTCCGCTTCTGCTCCTCAGTGCGCCGCTCGCGCTCCCCTCCGGCTCTTATCCTTCGCCCCCCTTCTCAATCCTTAGCCGCTCCCTGCCCCAATTGTCCGTCATGCGCTTGGCCCTGGAGGTGGGCCTCGAGGCTTTGGCATCGGACCTCCCCTCCTCTCTTCTTCGCCCCCCCTTCTGCGCGACTGTCCAGACCGTTGCGCCTCCCGCGAAAAATTCGCGAGAGTCCGGGCCCCACGCGAAAAATTCGCGAGAGTCCCGCGAAAGATTCGCGTGAATCCTTCGCGCCGTGCGCTGTCCTCCGAGGCGCCCCCCGGGCTACCCCGCCCCCGTGAAACCCCCTCTGGGCGATACGCGAAGGCTGTTTCCGCGCGAGGCCACCCTCGGCGACTCGTGCAGGAACTGAGCGGCGGAGGCGCCCCTGGGCGACTCCACCGCTCGGACCGACCCCCCCCCCGGGCGAGTTGGCCCGTCCTGGAACTCTCCTGGGCGATCCAGGACCCCCCGCACCCTCCCAGGCGAGCGGGGGCGCCTGATTACGGGAAAAGCACCCGCCTAAGCTCCCCCTTTTGAGGGCACTTTGGCGGGGGCGATCCGCGCCGGGGCGGCAGTCGAACCCCCCAGGCGATCGACCGCGGCAGACGCCCCTCTTTTTTATATTAAAAACAAAAGCACAACAACACAACACAACGTACAACAAACACAAACATACACCAAACAAGCACCGGACGGAACATAACAAACAAAAGCGCACACACGCACACACACACATATACACACACACACCACACGCACACAACAATTACTAAATTATGGCTCTGGTTGCACACCTAAGAAGAAAAAAGGAAGGGTCTGTGAGACGATAGGCGGGCTCTCGGGGGCTTCTTGGCGGTATTTCTGAGCCTCCTTGGGCGTCGCGGGGGCCTCTAGTGGTCCTCTTAGGGGTCTCTTGGGGCCTCTTCGGTGCCTCTTGGGAGCTTCTGGGGGTTTTCTCGAGGCCTCCAGGGAACCTCTCTGTGCCTGGAGCTCAACATGTCCGTTTGGGTCCCTCGTCCGGGCCCGTCTTGGGGCCGTCTTGGGGGCCTCTTCAGCCATCTTGGAAGCCTCTGGGGCTGTCTCGGGGCCCTCTGGGGCCGTCGTGGGCGCGCTTGGAAGCCTCTTGGGCTGCGTGGGGGCGATCCTGGAAGCCTCTTGGGCCGTTTTGGAGCGCCGGAAAGCTCCCACGGTGAGAACGCCAAGAACCTCCGAAAACTGGAGGGAAATCATTAATTTCTGGTCAGTGGACCCTCTGGGGGTGTCTTTTGGGACCTCTTGGGGGTCTCTCGGGGCCTCTCGGGGGCCTCTTGGGCGCTTTTGGGGGGCCTCTTCCGGCTTCCACGGAACCGCTCGATGTCTATAGTTTAACATATCCGTCCGGGTCCCTCGTCTGGGCCCGCTCTTGGGGCCGTCTGAGGGGTTTCTTTGGCCATTTTGGAAGCCTCTGGGGCTGTCTCGGGGCCCTCTGGGGCCGTCGTGGGCGTGCTTGGCAGCCTCTCGGGCTGTGTGGTGGCGATCCTGGCAGCTTCTTGGGCTGTCTTGGAGCGCGGGAAAGCTCCCACGGCGAGAACGCCAAAAACATTCAACAACTGCAAGGAAAACATCAATTTCTGGCTCAGTGGACCCTCTGGTGATGTCATTAGGGGCCTCTTGGGGGTCTTTTGGGGCCTCTTGGGCGCTTCTCGGGTGCCTCTTCCGGTTTCCACGGAACCGCTCGGTGTCTAGAGCTCAACATGTCCGTTTGGGTCCCTCGTCTGGGCCCGTCTTGGGGCCGTTTTGGGGGCCTCTTCGGCCATCTTGGAAGCCCCTGGGGCTGTCTAGGGGCCTTCGGGGCCGTTGTGGGCGCTCTTGGAGGGCTATTCGAGGCGCTCTTGGATGCCTCTTGGGCCATTTTGGGGCGATCCTGTAAGCTCCTGGGCCGTCGTGGAGCGCCTCCCAAGGCGAGAGCGCCAAAAACCTTCAAACAACTATAGGGAAGTCATTAATGTCTGCCTCTTTGGGTTGTCTTGGGAGGTTCCTTGGAGGCCTCTTGGGGTGTCTTTGGGGCGTCTTGCAGGCGCTTTGGGTTGTCTGGAGGCAATCTGTGGCGTATTGGATCGCTCATGGGCCGTTTCGGGCCATGTTGAGCTCGCTGGGAGGCGTTTGGGAGCCTGCTGGAACCTGGTCGGGACTCGGCCGGGACCTGGGGTTTGCGGGTGACTTTTCGTCTGGGGACCCCAAGTGGCGGCCCCGCGCGCGAGGACTATAATCTATAATTCCTATACGACCGCCCTTCGGGTGATAAGGAGGTTCGGGGGGAGGAGCCAACGTCTCACTCGATGGGTTTCACTATCGATATCAATATGATCGATCTCACTCGATCGATCTCACAATCGATATCACTCGATATATTTCATTCGATCGATCTCACAATCGATCTGACTATCGATTTCACAATCGATATTACGATCGATCTCACTATCGATATCACAATCGATCTCACATTCGGTCTCACTATCGATCTCACTATCGATATCACAATCCACCTCACAATCAACGTCATCAGCATCCTCAACCACATCGTCATCAACGTCATCAGCATCATCATCATCATCATCATCATCATCATCTGGACACCACCATCATCATCATGATCACCTCATCAGCAACATCATCGGGACACCACCATCGTCACCATCATCATCAACATCATCATCATCATCGGGGCACCACCATCAGCAGGATCATCATCACCGGAATACCACCAACATCATCACCATTGGGACGCCATCATCCTCATCAGCAACCTCATCGTCATCAACATCATCACCATCGGGACACCATCGTCACCATCATCATCATCATCATCATCACCGGGACCACCATCATCATCAACACCAGCATTATCATCACCATCACCGGGACACCATCATCAAAATCATCATCACCTCATCATCATCCCCATCATCAACATTTTCATCATCATCGGGACACCATCATCATATACATCATTACCATCATCATCATCGTCTCATCATCATATCATCATCAACATCATCAGGATCAGCATCAACATCATCATCATCGGGACACCATCATCATCAGCCACATCATCATCAACATCACCATCCTCGGGACTCATCATCGTCACCATCATCACGATCATCGTCATCATCATCATCAGGATCATCAACATCGTCACCATCATCACCATCATCACCCTCATCATCGGGACACTATCATCATCACCACCATCACCATCATCATCACCACAATCACCATCACCATCGGGACACCGACGGGACAACGGCGGGACACCGGCGGGATACCACGGGGCACCAGCCCCTGAAAAGGAATCATTTGGTCCGGCCGCGCCTCAGCCGGAGGCGGGACACCGCGGGGCATCGGCCCCCGGAAAGGAATCATTTGGTCCGGCCGCGCCTCAGCCGGAGGAGACGTTCTTCTCGCCCGCCCACGCAGCTTCGCCTCGCCCGCACGCACGGCACGCACGAACACGAAACCAAAACCGATTTCCTGGTAGGGGGGCTCCCCGTTCCGCTTCGATCTCACCCCCTCACCTCCGATTGTTAACCAGTCACCGGAGATCTCAGGACGCCTTGCTGTGGTGAACTTGGGTGGTTGTAAGATTTTGCAGACTTAGCAAGTTGGTTTCGGAACTTACAAGTTGCGCTAACTGAACGCAAGTAGTTGCAAGTATTTGCTTGTTGACGTGCAGCCACTTCATTTTTAGTTCCCGATATTTTCTTCTACGCGCGATGCGCAAGGCGAGCGACACCTATGCATTGGAAAGCAATGTTTTTTTTTGTTTGCGCTGCTGCGCAGAAGAAAGCAGGTAGCAGCTCACGCGATGTCTCACCACTTGAACATGGGAGGCACTATCGCGATTGATCCGCCTCCGTGGCGCCTGCATGCCTTGCAAGTCTTCGAACCTTTCCAACCAACCACAACGGACGTCCCACATCGCAAATGCCCACCATGCATTTTTTCACAATTGCACGTGTGCAAAGCGGACAGTTGCTTGCAGACGGCACGCCCGTATAGTGGTGGTGATGGTTCGGAAACTTGGCAAACGCCCCGCCATGGAAGTGATGATGTCGGTCGTGTGCACCAGCTGCAAGTCGTCGTCGGTTGAGTGCACGGTCAGCACGCCGAACCGAACATCGTAGCGAGGGGTGTCCCAGATTGAAACCAGCGATACCATCGTTCCGTCTACAGCAGCGTGAAACCACACCTCCCCACACGCCTTGCCACCATTGGCGACGGAGAGCAGCGCGATGTCGCG